ATTGATCCCCAAAAACAAAATATATTAGTGGTCACTTTGTGCAATACACAAAATTTATAATATCTATATTTCGTCATTGCGACTCCTACTCCCACCCCCCACCACAATTAGGGGTGTTCAAATTTTTGATCGGCCGCAAGTTTCTATTCAATCCTATCCATAATAATTTTTTAATATATATATATATAAAAACTAAAAAAACCCTAAACCCTAACCACAGGCGAAACAATTATAATTTTAATGTATTTCATATAGTTTAAAGTTTAAGCTTAAATTAATTGTTATTGTATTTGTATAACAATTATGGTGGATTGATGTTCATATTACTTCTTGTGTTTTATTATAATTCTTGTTGTAGTTGTTTTAGATTTTTAGTGTTAATTGATTTATTGTGTTATTAAATTGGTACATGTTATTTAATTAAATTGTTAAAATAATCCAAAAATTAATTGTTACAAAAATATTTACCCAATTTTCTACCCGACTTACTACCCAATTAATCGGGTAGGAAGTCGGATAGGAATACCACACTTGTCGGGTAGGGTAAACCAAGAAAAAACTCTTCCGCAAAGTATCGAGTACAAAAACAGAAGAGCATATTTCCTACCCGTAAGATAAGGTGAACACCCCTAACCACAACCCATCGCCACCACACTTATATCCCTATCTCATCCTAACATAAGAATTTAAATATAAATTCATTATCAAAAAAATTGAAAGTGATTATAAAGGTGACATGTCGAAATTCAATTGAAAAATTCAATTAAATAGTTCAAAATTAGGAGAAAATAAAATTTAAGAAAAAGAATTTCTCATGCACTCTATCTTATCAAAATTCTTTTAGGGTTCGTTTGATAGATGTATTGTAAGGTAACAAAATATTGAATTATATTATTTTTTATTTAATCGCACCTAATATTTTTATTTAATCGGACATAATACTTTCTTCAGAATTAGCATAAAATAATATTAATATATCAAAAAACACACACACTAATACACCACCCATGACCCTCGGGTTGATCCACAACTCATGGGTCGACCCATGACCCACAACCAACTCATAGTCCACAATTGACTCGACCTATTATGTGTGTATTGTTTTTTATTAAATATATTTTAGTTTTTGTTTTAATATATGTGTGTGTATTTTTTGTGCATTAGTGTATATTTTAGTGTATTAGTGTGTATATTTTTAATGTATTAGTTTGTGCTTATTTTGTAGTATTTGTGTGTGCGTGTGCATATGTTTGTATTTTGATATACTATTAATGTGTGTGTGTATTTTTGTGTACTAATGTGTGTATTAAGAATTTTAATTATTTTATGGGTTAATAGGTTTAACTCAACCCCGTCATAAATCCAACTTATTATAACTAATTTACTACGTGAGTAAAAAATAGATTAGATTTATTTTAGTCTAATCCAATTTAACCCAATTCAACTAAATATTGAATTGTAATTTGGTTGAAAATTATATATCGCAGTGTCCAACTCTTTATCCTATTTAGAGTATCACCCCCATGCCTTTTTCTATTGTCACATTCTTGGTAAAGGTCAACTCCATCTATTTGCAACTACAGTTCTTGACAAATACAGCTAGAAGGATTAGTGAAGTGACTGACAAGTATTCACCAGCACTACCATCTAAAATCATCATAGTTGATTAAACATTAATAAGACCACAAAAGCTATTTTTTTTAAAATAAAAAGATGAATAGAAAATTAAAAAAAAATTGAATACTACTTTATAAATTTTATCTGTCTATAATACATGCATTTTAGCACATGAAAAAAAAAATGAATTAGAATACACATAAATATTTCTTCGGTCTGCGTTTATTTACAAGGAAAGAGAGATAGGAATCAACAATAAAATACATGAGAATAAAATTCAAGTACCTGACATGATAAGAATTATATCTTATTTCTTATACGTAAGTCTTAGAGGTGTTTATTCTATCATACCATTAGAAATTATGATATTTTATCTTCTTACCTTAATTTTTAGCAAAAGAGATTTTTCTTAACCTACTCTACCCGATCAAGTGTACTATTTCTACCCGAATTCTGTCCAAAACAATCGGCTGAACACAATATTTTTTAGTTATTAATTTTTGAATTATTTTAACAATTCAATTAAGTAACCTACACCAATTAACTAACACAATAATATTAAAAATGTTAAAATGTTAAAAATTTAACACACACACACACACATATATATGGTTAGGGTCGGATAGAAAGATGGAATTTTTATGGATATTTCGTATTCCTACGGTCCTATCAAATTTTTTGTAGAATACAAAAATTTTTTTTATTGGCCTACTCGATTTTTTTGCGATAACCAATTAATAGGTAGGATAAAATCAAATAGGATTGAAATATTCAAATAATCAAAAAATTGAACACCACTACCTCTAGTGATAAGGCTCAACCCCCCAGATCTCGGAGTGAAATTAAGGGGATGCGTAACTCAATTACTCATCTTTTTAGTCTAATTTAGAGGTTATTATGATCAATATTAATTTGAAAATGGTTTTTCTAATAAGAATTTTTGAGATTGCGTAGCTTTGATGGTTGCATTGCATGCATTTAAGTTTTCTCAATGGAGATTTTTTGCTGTGGCCCCCATCAAGAAATATCAAGATAAAGATAAAATAGCATGTCACTTGAAATTTACCAAGTAAGTGCACGGGAACATGTAACTGATTATGACATAGTGACTGGAATTAGAGGAAAAAGACAATTAAGTTGCTAGCTGTAAGCATCCTCAATCATGTATACACATTAAGATAGGATTAGGTGAACAGTTTCGTGTTTTAAAGCAGATAGCTGGTAGCTTTTATGATCAAGTTGGTGTAACAGACGACCCTTTTTTCCTAATCACAATCACATGATAAGAACTTGAATTTCAAATTTTCAATAGTCAAGTAGGTCACTATGTGAAGGTTCCAAACTTTGACTGAATAAAAACATAATTTTTAGATGTATATGACCCGCAAATTAGGCGCATTCATTAAACAAGAGTTGTATATGAGCAAGAGAAATTGAACTCCGGATAAACGGGTATTTCCATTTTGTCCCATGACTTGCTCTTGTTAAAGTGAAGGTTCGATTGCTACAAATGACTCGTATTTGAGTTTAATGTCAATATAAATGTTTCCTAGTCAAACTGAATAGTAAAGATAAAACGTGTTTTTGATTAATGGAGGGGGGATTATCACCGAGCGTTTGGTGCAAGTCAGCCAATGAGTGAAACCATAGATTTCTTCGCTTAATATTTAGGTTCGAATTCTTACAATTATGATAATTTGATTAAGTTAAACTTATTTTTTAACATTCAGAGCAACGGATAAAATGTTATTTTCGATTCTAATATATATATAAAAAATTTAATTATAATATTAAAAAATAATATTCTTTAACTGATATTTGAACTGACCAATCTACGTACGAAGAGAGTGGTTGAGAGATAGATCTTTTGTCGAGTAAGGGTTGAGTCATCTCACATATAGCAT